TATTTATTTGACAGAGGTGGGGAGGGGGTGAGGGAGAGGGAGAGGGAGAATCTCAAGTAGACTCCATACTAAGGGCGGAGCCCAGTGCAGGGCTCGATCTCACAGCCCTGAGATCATCACCTGAGCCGAAATCAAGACTCAGATGCTTAACTGACTGAGCCACTGAGGCACCCCTCTATTTGGTAGTTTTTGATAGGTTTTGTTTTCAAATCATCACATCATTAAAATGATACTAAAATGATCAGACCATCCAGTTAGAATTTTGGTACCTAAGAAGGGACTAAGTTTATTTGAATCTACCACATATTAAAGGACCTCCCCATTTTTTGTTTTGCCATATACACAGAATTAATCAGTTGAGTTTATAATCTGATCTTTCTCATAACAATATTTTATGTTACTTTTTGTGATTTAGGTGCATGTTTAGGGTCACAAAAATGTATTTGCATTTCTAACCTTTTATATAGGCCTAAAAGTAAACTGCTATTAAAAAATTATGATATTTTTAGGGTAAAGTTTTACGCTTTTTCTTGCTGTAAGAAAATTTACCTAATCTTCAAAATCACTGTTATGTTTAGTGATACATTTTTGGATTTGTGTGTAAAATTTTAATGTGATTTTTATTTGATGCTTTGAAATTATTTCTTTGGGTATGTTTTAATCCTAAAATGAAATGTGTTTTTACTTAAATACATTCACATACTTAATTTAGGGCACTTTTAAATTTATATTTTCCATCCACCTTGGAACTGCCACCCACATTCATGGCTTAGGTATTCATGATATGGTATTTATGATATGGTTATGAGAAGGCTTATAAGTATTATTTCTTAAAGCCAGTTTTAAAATAATATTGATTAATCTTATGTTCTTGTAACAAGATTTAAATTAGAGATGTATATGTGTGTTTGTGTATGTATAACTCAGGAGTAGACAAATCATAAGTAAATAAATTTTAAATGAAGAAGTAATTTATTAACAATCCTTTAAGACTTTACTGAAATACCACCCTTTCAGCAAGTACTTACATGGCCATTGCATACAAATTTTTTTTCTCTCTTAAAAACAGGTGCATGTACACACATGCACACATATTGACACATACTTATTTTTCTAGTCTTCACTTTTTCTTAGTACTTATCACAGTTTTATCATAATATATATATATTGCTGATTTATCTTACTGATTTTTTTGTCCTGCTCTTAGAATTTATGCTTCATGTAAGTAGGAATTTTTGTCTGTTTTGTTACTGTATTCCTAGTGTCTAGAACAATATCCTGTATACAGTTGGCTGTCACAAATATTGAATGAATGAATGAATAAGTAAGTGATGATTACATTTACTTTTATTTGGTTTTTGAGGTTGGAGCACCTAAGGGAAATGACACAGAGCCAGAAGTTGTTCCTAATGTTTCTTAAAAAAGATTCTGGGTAGTTAAATCCTTCTAGTTGAACAGTTAAAGGGAAACACAAGTATCTTTGCTGTCTGTTTCACAAACAGATGTCCTGGTGAGGTTGTTAATGAACTTTTCCCATGGGTTTATAGAATTTGAATGAGAAGGATTTGCATATAGAGTAATGAGTGATCAGCCAAATGATGTGAGATAAATTGTGTATTTTAGTGGTGCCTGGTGATCATTCTAAGTGGCTTCTGAATATAAAGTGTGGAAGACAACTGCCTTTATTCACACACTCCCAAATTGAAGGTGGGGGATTAAAACTAGGGGCCAGAAAATGTTTTGAATGTATCGCCGAAGTCAGGAAGTAAGTTTTCAGAGAAGTTAGGATAAAGAGGCAGAGGTTTTTTTTAAGTAATCTCTGTACGCAGCGGGGGGTCGAACTTAGGACCTGAAGATCGAGACTGATGCTCTTCCAGCTGAGCCAGCCAGGTACCCTGAGGCAGAGTTTTTTGATTCTGATTTCAGAGTGTGAGGGAATGGACAGCTTTATTAATGGGAATTAGGTATTAATAAGAAATATGCTCTCCCTCTGCCCCTCCCCGGCTGCTGTGCACATGCTCTCGCTCTCTCTCAGAATAAATAAATAAACATTAAAAAAAAAAAATAGCTATAGCATTGCTTTGTTTTTGAAGCCTCAGCAACTCCCTTTGCACTCGCCCCGTCCTCCATTGCATTCTCTACTTGACTGACTGTAATTGCAGTGAAATAGCTGAAGGCTCTTGTGGGAGTCCAGTGTGTCAGCCCACATTCTGTATTCATTGTTACTATTCATGGGAACCACTTAATGACACTTCTATTTCTTTTCTTTTCTTTTTTTTAAGATTTATTTATTTTAGAGAGAGCGTGCTAGCAGTGTGGGGGGAGGGGCAGAAGGAGAAGGAGAGAATCTCCAGCAGACTCATCACTGAGCACAGAGCCCCATGTGGGGCTCAGTCCCAGGACCAGAGGTCATGACCTGAGCAGAAATGAAGAGTCAGTTGCTTAACTGACTGAGTCACCCAGGAGCCCTGTGATGCTTCTGTATTTTACATTTGTGTAGATATTAGGAATCAAATAGAGAAATAAGATGCTTCTTTGGCTCCGTCAGAGGTAGAAGCACTTGGTGACTATAATTGTTGTATGTAAAATATTTTAAGATGGATTCTAAACATCCTTTCCCTTTTATATATAGACTGGCTCTTCTTAATATGCTATATTTTGCCTATGGTTTATAGCAGGTTCTGCTTGTTAAAAAATTCTGAGTCCTTGTTAATCTATGTATTAATGTCTAAATAAATTTTGACGTATCTGCTATTTAAGAATATAAAATGATTACAAAGTACTATATAAATTTAGAATCAAAGGAACTTAGAGGTCTTCCATTTCAATTTCTAAGCCAATGTTAGGACTTTTTAAAATGTGTCTCCTTCTCTCTGCATGCTCCAGATCTCTTGGCCTTCTTTCAGTTTCTCACTGGTGATTATGCTTTTGCATATGCTGTTTTTCGTGTGTGGGATTCTCACAATTATCCTTACCTTTTCACGTTATACCTGCTTAATTCCAGCTCAGTCTTAAGATCATAGCTCAACTACTACCTCTTCCAGGGAGCCTTCCCTGATACTCTTTATCCTACTCCCCACCACCCAGTTTAAGTAGCTCTGTTACATTCATTTCTATAGTTCACTATACTTTGATAGCACTTAATGACAGTATGTATTTACATAGTTGGGTGATTTGAATGCTGTCTGTCTTTACTGCTTAACAGTGAGTTGCAT